ATTCGTCCTTAATATGGCCATTAAACGTATTAATTGACCATTAATGATATTTATCTTTCCCAATCAGTTTGTCTGACAGTCGATCGATTGCCAAGTATAGTACAAAAATCATAATATTTATGAGTCAAAATTAAACATAATTTATGACAAAATTTTAATCTATTGAAACTATATTTTATGATAAAAATATAGCAGAAACTTCAAAAATAATCTTATAATAATTTTGAATGATAATAATAACAAAGATGATGATGATGATAATAATAATAATATCTCACAGGATTTGTAATTAAGCACGGAAAATATGAAGAATTGTTGATAATTTGTTATCAAGATTACATTGTATTTGCGTAGGAAGGAAGATAAACATGAAACAATTATTTAATTGAAATTGATAATGAAATAAAGAAAAAATAATAATATTTGGTTATATTTAGTCCTTGAACAATTATTTGATAAAGTTTAATCTCTCTAATTTCATGCCATTGTATTTAGCTTTTCCTATCCAATATCACCTTCAGTTTCTCAATTTTAATTTAGTGGAACAAACATAAATACAAAAATATGGCGTATCAACACATGTTTTACGATTTTTACACACTACACGTTTTTTGCTTTGTAAAATTGTTAGAAACTATTTCATCAAAGTGAACTTAAAAATTAAAAATACAAGAAATATAGTGTAAAGCCATTTAAAACTCAGTTCTCGATTGATTTACATTACCACTTTATATTAAATTAGTTTATCCAACTTGGCTTAAGGCAAATTGATACGTTGAACAGAATTGGCCAAATAAAATATTTTAAAAAACATTTTCTTATATTTTTTAAATGAATGGGTATGTGATAATGTGGAAGTGGTAGGAGTGGCATGCGGGTCGTGTTGAATTCTCGGTGCGAGTGAATCAACTCAATACACAGTAGATTTAGTTCAACCTAGTCAATTCTTAGATGGCCAAAATTTCATAGCAAGATCAAACATATATAAATATAAATATATATTAAAGTATTAAAGCTGTAAAGCACATCTTGTTCTTAACATACAAATGTTGTGATTTGGATTAATTATATTCATAGTTTAAAAGTAAAAGAAGAAGTTGAGGTAAATATTTATACCTAATATGTAATGAAAAGTAGAAAATAAATCGATTTGGAGAGTAAATATAATGTTAGAAGAATAATAATAATAAAAGTGGAGCTACGAGAATAGAGAAGAGGACAATTGCAATTTGGATTAGCAGTGGGCCCAGTTCTACCGGCAAATGGGTTGGAAGGGGACACACCCGGACCCATTTAAATCTGCATCAAACATTCATGCTAATTTCAGGCCCCACTCAGTAACTGCCTCTCTATCCGTTCATGTACCCTACCTAACACTATTATCCTTCCACCTCACCCGACCCGCCCCGACCCGTCTAAACCAATCATAAGTCAACACCATTCAAATTCCTAAACCTTAAGATAAATTACAATGAATAAAACTAACGTTTCCTTTACTAATAATATATATTATTAACATAATTGTGTCATTCTATATGTTTTTTTTTATTTACATTTTACATCGTCATTCAATTTGTAATTATGTTTTTAATTTTTCTCACTTTTTTAATCTTTCTCCCAAGGTCAAACAAAGCATAATTGACAACATGGGAAGAGAGATTTTTGTCCCGTCATAATCTTGGCTATCTCCAAAACTGGACGGAAAAAACATGAGCAAAAAAAAGACTTTCCGTAATATAAAAATCTTGACTTTTCGTTATCACGTGTGTCTTTCTTTTTTTTAAGGTATTTACGTCATTTACGCATATACATGTATAATTACACTTTAAAGCTTCGTTTTCTTTTAACTTTCCTACACAACAGCTTAAAATATATATTATTTATTCAGTTGGTTTTATTTGTGAGTTGTACTCCTAAACGAAAGACAGGGTAAAGGAGATAGTATGGATAAGAGTGTTTTTTATTAATGTTGTCCTTTTTTAGTTATAATTAGAATGTAACGGAACAGGAAGAAGTCGGTGCCTTAGAGTTTGGTGCCAGCTGTTTTTATCAACTGCCCAACTGCTTCCCTTGTTTAGGATGACAACGCTCCAAAGCCAATTTATTTATGCCACGTGGGCGGCTACTGTGTCATCATTCCTTCCTTCCTCCAAAAATAACTCTACCTTTAAGCACTCGCTTTACTCAATTTTTTCTCTTTTTTTATTCATCGAAAACTTTCGCCCATCTTTTTTAATATAAGCTTTATATTTTTCTAGTCTATTTACAAAAACAACTTCAACTTTATTAAAAACATTTACAGTATTAAATAAAACTGTCAAATGGATCATAATGCACGGATCAATCCGATTCATCACATATTTGAGCCGAGTTAAGTTTTAAAAAATTGTATTTTTTATGTGGGTCAGATTTCAATCCGGCTGATGCCGATTGACTCGTGGTGGACCGGGTTGACCCATCAATCCACCTACCTAATTTTATTTTATTAAAATTTAATTTTAATTTTATAAAAAAATATTTATTATTTTGGTTTTGCTTGAAAAAATTATTTAAGTTCCTTATTTTTAAAATTAATTAAACACCCATTTTGGGAGTGAAATTTGTTTAGATTTAAATTATAGAAAGTTTGTAATTTTTTTATTTTAAAAAATTTGTAATTAAGTGAGTCAGTGAGCCAACCCGTTTATCCACTAATCCGTAGTGGATCGGATCGGATTTGAATTTTTCTGGCTCGCTAATAAATAAGCCGGGTTGAGTTGGCTCACTAAATGACCAACCCATGATGAACTGAACCGAATGACCCATTTTGACACCTCTAGTATGGAACGTACAAACTAATTATTTTTTTAATGATTTGTTCAAAACGTCATGCAATAGTTACTTTTAACAAGGGAGTATATCTATTTAAACTTACAAAAAGATTAATGCTGCAATTTTTCATTTATTTTAAAATTCACTTCGTCCACCTTCTCGGTGTTCTTTTTTTTGTACATAAAAATATTAATTGATCTATATTTTTACGTTTAGATAACTCTATGACGTGAACTGGGAGACCGTTAATGAGATAAAATAAAAGAAATACCAATTATATCTAAAAGTAGCAAACTGTATATCGGAACTGTTAGAAATATTAAATCTTTTATCTTTCAGTTTATCTTTCAGTTAGTTTGTTAATATTTATTATTTGTATTTTGGGCTTAGCCCATATTTCTTCTATTATAAATAGAGAACCCTATGTGTGTTTAACACAAGGAAGATTAACTCCATATATAATTTTCATTATATTTAACAGGAACTTACCGAGCAAAGTGAAAAAAAGTAAGGATAAATAGAAATACGAAACGATGGTTATATAATTTTTTTTGAAGTAATAATAATTTGTTGGTGATTTATATATAATGGAAGTGTGTTGTGGAACTGGATTAACCGTGGGTTGATAGAAGGCGGTGAGAGAGGCGAGGAAAAGGTGGGGTGAGAGGCTAAAAAGTCAAAAGGATTGAATTTGAATCACGTGAGATTCTTACAGGCTGGAGTGGGACCTTCCTACGTGGAGGAAGTTGAAGTGTTTGATTTGATATGATTTTGGTTAAAAATATGAAAACGAAGATTTTGGTTTTGCAGCACTGATTGCTTCAGACCACTTTCACTAATTTACTTGGTTGGTTATAGATAGAGCAGAGATGAATTTCTGTTTTACATTACAGCTGTATCTCTATGTCCCTCAGCCAAACAATAACTAGTCAAAAACCCTTTCGACCCCACTTGCTCTCTCCTTTTTAGTAATCTTTCTATTCTACTCTTTAAATTAAAAATAAAATAAAATAAACGTTTCTTGTGTGCTAAACAGCTCAACTTTTCCTGTCATCTCATGTTTTAAACGCACCCAACAAAACACCAATTAACAACTACTTCTACCCCTAAACGCCAATTAACGACCACTTTCCACCCCTAAACCTAATATTCTATCCACCTTCAATTTTTCAGTACCATAATCGCTTTTAAATTCAACCCCTCTTTTTATCTTTTTTTTCACTGTGCCTACCCTCCACAAACCCGCACTCGAGGAAGGGAAGGGAACAAACACACAAATACAAATAAATAAATAACCTAATATTTTAACATTAATGCAATTAGCTACATGATTTGATAAATACTTAATGATATATTTGGTTTAGGAAAGAAAATAAAAAAAATGGTTGTGATTGAAATGAAAATACAAAAGTAAAAAACAAATGGACAATACATTTTGTTTAGTTTTTCCTTTCCGGTTTTAGAAAGAAGGCTAAACATGTGATCCCATTTATTTTTAATGATTTTCCGCCTGTGTTAAGGAAGGGAGATGATTTGTTATCTTTGTTTTGTCTGGTAAGCTCATCTTAACAAAGAATATATATAAGAAAAAGATAGGAAAAGGAAGGTATTGTATTTATTTATGTATGGATGATAAAATGTAAAGAAGAGGGATAATAAGTAAAAGAATAATAAATGAAGTGGTGTCTCTCTACAGCTGTTTGATAGGGTGGGGTTTTGCAAAGGCGAGTATATTTGGAGTGTTTATCGTACGTGTGAAATGGAATATAGAATATGTTTGTTATTCTAACCTGAGGATGCCTAAATAGTGGCTAACTGTTATGAATAAGAAAGCGCCAAAATAGTAAGGAGAAGTTGACAGAATAATTAAAAAGTAGAATAGCATATTATTATATGATTGATGAGAGAGTAGTAGTAGTAGCAGTAATAAAGAAATGGAAAATGAAGGTGGTGAGAAATTTCAAAGTGGAGAAAATGGTCAAAGAAAGTAAGGAAGAGAAAGTGTGACAGCGAGAAAGCTCGTTTTTCAGAAGCAGTGATAATAGTAATGGTATTAGTATAGATATGAAAACAAATCGCATCTCGAAGAGTCATACAAGTTAGACCTCCACACCCACCAACTATACAAAACCCCACTTTCCTGGAAGTACCCTTCCTTTACATCTTCCTCCCTTACCCGTTATGTTATAACTCACGCTGCCGCATGCACCTTTTTACTTCACTCTCTTCTTCTCCCTATATAAACACCACCAACCCCTACAACAACACTCCCTCATTTCTCCCATGGAGGCTATCAACAGAACCTCCTCCACCGCTTCTTCTTCCTCCGACTCTTCCTCTTCCGACTCCAACCCCCACAGAATCAAAGGTCCCTGGAGCGCCGAGGAGGATCGGATCCTCACCAGCCTCGTCGACCGCTACGGACCCCGCAACTGGTCCCTCATCAGCCGCTACATTAAAGGCAGGTCTGGCAAGTCCTGCCGCCTACGGTGGTGCAACCAGCTCAGCCCCACCGTCCAGCACCGGCCCTTCTCTCCCCAAGAGGACGAGACCATCATCGCCGCCCACGCCCAGTACGGAAACAGGTGGGCCACCATTGCCCGTTTGCTGCCGGGTCGAACCGATAACGCCGTTAAGAACCACTGGAACTCCACGCTCAAGCGCAGAGCCAAGGCTTTTCTTGACATCAATGTCAACAACGCCAACAACGAAGCTGCCACTTCTTCTGCTCCTTCTCGTTCCTTCGAGGACGACCCGTTGACCGCGTTGACTCTCGCTCCCCCCGGTCTCTCTGGCGCCGCCGTGGCCGAGGACACCGTACTGGATCACCGGGTCTCTCCCGAGAGTGCGCCGGCGGGGTTTTGGGATATGATGAGAGATGTGATCGCGAGGGAAGTGAAGGAATATGTGTCTTCCAATTTTTCTGATAACTCGAACTTTCATTAAATGAATCATAATTGTTTTTGTCTCTTTCTCTTTGGAATATATTATTGAGAGCTGTTTGATTTTACGGATCAGGGAATTAAATTAAAACCCTTCTGGCTTCGGCTTAACGGCAGTTTTCTCTTCCGCTTTAAAGTATATACTTTTACATCAGAAACACCTCTCCGACAGGCATTTCGGTATTTTGTTATGGTTGGGGGAAAATCTAACGTATTTGTATGTGAATTTGGCTTATTGGGTGGAATGTCTAAGGATGAATTAATACCGACGGTAGAAGGTGGTAACCGGTGAGGTGCATAGGTGATAAAACGCAACTTGGTGGCCAAAAACCTTAGTTGCATTTGTTTTTGGTAGAGGAATCAGCTACAGAGTCCAACCTTGGACGAATAAAAACAACAAGTACATATGATAATATGGATATTAACGTTGTGTTAATTGTAAATTTGTTAACGACATACCTTTTTTTGTTTGATAATTGATATACATTTAGTCTCATTCAGACACTGGTACACAAATGTTTTAAAGGAAATCCACTTCACGGGGGAGGTAACTCTCATAAATGAGAAATGAAAGGCAAATGCGTGTATTGTCCCAGAATAAAATATAAAAGTTGCAGAATCTGAATTTGTCGTTATCGATACACGCTTTCCATTTTCATAACTCGTAATTCTCCTTGTTCCTATTGAAATTAATGAAAAGGCTCGTCTTTTACTAACATTCTGAACGCAAGCTACTCATGGCATTGTGCTGGGTATCATTTACGAGTTTGTTACAGACAATTATAAATAGAAAATCCAGAGAATCGGATGATGATGCATACAAAGTTCCTACAATTTCCGCAAACCAAATATCCTACTTCCTATTTTTAGATACAGACCCAGTACTCACAATGCCATATAATTCATAACGTATAAAGTAAAATAAAAGTATTAAATATTCCAAATCAATAGATTTAAATCATCACTATCTTTATTGAGAAACTGATTCAAGATTTAATAACTTAATGGCGATTAAAATATTATTCAAAATAATTTCATTTTTTTTGTGTCCAACTTTTTCTATTCTAATTTTGGTTTTGGTGAACGAAAGTGTCAATTCGTTCAATTTTTATTCTACACACGTAAAAACAAGACAACACACCTGATGCACTGAAAATATCAAAGTTTTATACGTCTTACTTTATGTTTTGTAAGCTGCTTCCATAATTTTAAAGTTTTTGATAGATTTTAGCTTATAATGAATAGTGAGTTCTTGGCATTTAAAAAAGAAAAAAGAAACTCGGATGACTAAACAAGCCATGAATATTTTACTACCTCTTTCACTTCATATTTGCGCACGATTTAAAGTATTAAATTGAAATAAAAATAATACTACACTTTTGCTCTTATTTAATTGTTGGTTATAACATCCTTCGTTTTTTAAATGAAAGACATTTTTCAACTGAGTGCCACAAATTTTTAAATTGCAGATATCGTTAATAGGTAACAAAGTTCTTTTTTTAAATGATGATAAAAAAATAATTTTTTTTATTTAAATATCAAAGTCATTGTTTTTGGGCGTCACCTGGTAACCAAGCCGAGGTAGCCCTTTGTATGAAAAAGAAATACACAAGCATCTTGCGATATCTGCAGGTGCATTAGGAAGATTAGTAAATGATAAACGGAGAAAAACTGACAACGTGTTGAGTCAAACATAAATAATGTCTATTTATTATTTGATTCGTAATAAAAAAAATTCAATTGTTATTCATGGATTGTTTAAAAATACTTAAAATACTCGCAGATAAAAAAATTCAATTGTTATTCATCGATGGTTTAAATTTATATATTTTTTAACAAATTTATTTGCATTAATATTAAATGAACAATTTAATTTAAATTATACTTCAAAATAATTTTTATCTAAATTCATATTTATTTTTTAAAAATAATTTTATTAAAAATTTTAGAAAATATATAAAAACGTTCATAAATATCCTCGAGTATAAAAAAATATATACAGACCTTTTTACAAAAAAGCTAATAAGTAATGAAACAAAATTATTTAGACACAATGAATACAGTAAAGAGTACCTATACCGAACTTCCGAAGTTGACTTCTTTTGATCTTTACAATGAATTGTAAGAAAAATAGAAAAACTTGGGAAAAGCGTTTAAAACGCAGCAGCAGAAGACTTATCCAATTCAGCTTCCTTTTTCACTGCCTCACACATGCTTTAATATCCATGTCACATGCTCTGCACTCATATTTTATTATAGATTTAACAAAAATGAATTTGTCTTTATATCCGATTTTAGAAGTGAAGAGATTGAATCTTTATGTTATAAAAAATATATGAATTAGTATCCGATTTTAGAAGTGAAGAGATTGAATCTTTATGTTATAAAAAATATATGAATAAGATCTACAAAGAAAAAATAAATTAAACAAATAATCAAAGAAAAAGTTAAACAAAAGAGAAAAAAACAGACAATAAAAGAAATAAGAGAAAAAGTACGATCACATCACCATGAATTTAACGCCGTTATTATCAACTTAATAGATATGACCTTGTTCATACACTTTTCATAACATAAAAACCTAATATATTCATTTTTAAAATTACATACTAAATAAAAATTTATTTATTAGATGAAATAAGTATTTAAGTTTTTATTGTATTATCATAAAACGTTAATATACATACAATATGATTATATTACGCTTTATTCACTTTTAACTACATAAATTTTTATTCCTTTTCTGGGACTTTCGATTAATTCACATGTCACGAACTTGCCTCCCTTATCTAATATATGATATTCCTAAACTAGATAGAGTCATCAACATAATTATGATGAGGAATCCACCATCAAATATTAATCTTCTTCATAACGCGTCAGTGTCATCATGAAACCAAGCGTTGCGCTGCTTTCAAGGAACAGTCACAGAGCAGGGATACTTATCGCCTCTTTCACTGCCCAACTATAACTTTCCTTTTCTATAACCTTACTTTTACATATTAATTTCAGTTCAAATTATATTCGATAAATAAAAAGCAATGCATGCTGCAATGTAAAATGTTTCAAAAATAAAAGTGACTCACTATTTTGTTTCACTTTTATGTATTTGAAATATATTCATATAATAGATTTTCTAGGATTCATGGTGTAGGGTTCGTAAAATACTATGTTTACGTAAAATGTTGGCATCAATTGTGTATATTTACGTGAAATTGACTTGGCCGATAACGTGTTTTTGGCATTGTTAATATAAAACAATACATAGAATTGTGCGGCAATCGAAAGTCAATATTTTATTTCCACCTGTGCTTTACTCGATGTTCTGAAAGAAAATATAAAAAACATGCATAATATTTTATACAAAAATGAAAACCTATTTTTAATATAAACGTGAAAAAGTTAAACATAAGAAAAAGTAAAGAATAAGAAAAATATTGTTATTTGGGCCAGCGTCGGGCCATACAAACAAGAATGGGCCGAAGGAAACTGTCACGGGCTTTCTGAACGCAACCGAGTGTAAACCCAGAAATGCAGTTTTATTTGATTAAGAAAAGAAAACAGAAACAGAAGACGAAATGTGAAATGATAGAAGAAACGGAAACATTAAGGGGTGGTGGAGCGTGTTGATGGAACAGCGATGAACTTGGTGAGACCAGCAAGGCAGTCATAAGAGTTGCCTTCTGCGGAGGCAAAGTAATATGGCTTCGACTCGTTCAGTGCAACCTTAAACCCTTCGTCATCTCCTTCACTTGCGTTCCCCAACAACTTTGCTCCTCGGAATTCGCACGTTATGTAGCTCCACAAGTTCGGGAGCAAGTACACGCTCTGCGTAACCGTCGAATTTCCTGGTGGGGGATACTTGAACACTTCACCTCCCAAAAAAGTTCAACTCATCAATCAATCTATAACGTAACTATGCTTACACAGATATTATACGGTTAACTAAAAGATTGGATTTTTAGGTTTTGACTTACCCAGTGTATCATTTATGTGGAAGGGGCTATTTTGAATGGCCCATTGCGTGTAGTTAGTGCCCGCACGCCAACCTTGGGAGTCTCCGACCAAAATGGTTCTGGGCTTTGTCGCCTCTGCCATGGTCGAAAGCATAAGGAAGACAAATAGACCTTGTGCCAACATTCTAGTGCTGCTGAAATCCATGTTCTTTTCTGTGTCTGATGTGATTCGGTGGTACTAACTCACCCATGGTTTATATAACACCATTCCACATTAATCAACCAGTGTTGGCTTCCGATTTCAATTGAGTTCTGGTAGTTACGCACTCGATAAGTGTGAGTTGAAATGTTTGTTCAAGAGAATGTACAGGGAGCTGAAAATGTTGGAATCTCGTGCATTTTCATACTTGGAATTCGAAGTCCACGTACCATAATTGACTCTGCTCAATTACTCTTTTTTTTTTTATTGATTATTAAAGTTTAAAAGATCTGAATTAATGAGAAGAGATACCTGCAAACGTTTTATATTACTGGTGTTAGGTAAAAAGAGTAGCATAAAAATCAGCAGCAAGAAGAAACAGATGTAGAAATAGATTTTGGTTATGAGGTGAAGGGGCGTCTAGAAGAGTGTACTTTGATCAGTAGTTTGGCAAAATTGCACAAACTACAAAAGCAGTCTTTTCTCACCCTTTGTCTTGGACTTTTTGTTTTCTTTTGACACTTCTATTTGGAATGGTTGGTAACCGTGTATCAGTTACAACCTCAAAGGTCAAACAACATCTCCATTTTGTCTTACAAGGATATTTTATCACTTTTAATATTATTATTATTTTATAAATAGTATTATTTTAATTTTTTCACACCTTTCATAATCATAGTTTTTCAATTCTTGCATATTTATTAACTTTTAAATATGTAACAAAGTATTAACGTGTAACTAAAAACTACTTTCTTTTATCATTAATTTCTAAAAAATATTAATCTGTTGTCAGTATAAGAGTAAAATGTGTATTTTTTTTAAAAGTGATGGTAAATTATGCAGAAAAGAAGACTTGGATAGTAAACTATAACGAAAAATAACATGTTTGTAAAACTTGGATGATTAACCTTTCGTCCTTTTATATAAAGTATCTTCAAACAAAAATATTTGTTTCCTTGTTTTATTATCGTATTATAGGTAGAAGTATCCCTTTTATATGCATCATTATATAAGGAATTTTTCTCTCTGCATTCTTTTTTGTCATTTTATCCTCTAAATAACAAATTTTCAAATTCAAATAATCACATTATCAATTTTACCTTTTATATTTGATTGTTTTTTTAAATTTATTATTTTTTAAACTAAAATAACTATTTATAATAAAAATTTACCTGCAAAATGAATAAAAATATATACAATAAATTATAAAAATTATTTATATATACTTTTATAATTATAATACTAATAATTTTATTATTTTTATTATAAAAGTATGGACACACATATAAAGCATGTGTTTTCTATGAAAGATAATTGTATTTGAAATAAAAAAGAATGTAACAACTTTCTCAAAGTATTTAATCTAATTATATTTTAAGGACTTGAAGCCAAATAATTTATTTAATAAGAACACATTGCATTAGTTGGTCCTCACATTTGGTAGCTTGATGATTAGTTTTTACTAAAAAAAAAATTAACTAGTTACTTTTTTACAACACTCGACATGGAATTTTATAGATCCACTTTAATCAACATTTTTTTTTAAATTTGTGGTATTTCTATGTATTAAATATCACATATTTATTGGAGATAAAGTTATATATATATATATATATATATATATATAATATAAATCTTACCTTATAAATTTATTTTTGTTGAATTAGACTCAATTTTATTTCATAATAGATTATTCTAGAAAAACTAGAGAAAAGAAGATTAAGCTAAAAACATTCAATATTATTTTCTTAATGTTAGTGATAAGTTATATTTGTAGACCTAGAAATAATTATTATCCTCGCTTAAGGAAATAGAGGATCTTTCTTTCCCCAAGTGGACCTTGAGTCCACTTTCCAGAATTAAAATATACAAAATTTTTCGCCTTTAAGCCAGACCAATAATACATAATTATTTAAAAACATATACTTTTAAAATAATATATAAATTATTTTTTATGCATTTTAAAGTAATTTATTTTTAAGGATTATTATATGCTTTACAATTTATATATAATAATTTAATTATTATAAAAATCATTTATCCATAATTACGTCGAACGCAATTAACAGCACTAGAAGGTGATTAGGTGATTGTAGCGTATGACTCAGTAGAAGTTGGTCTTGTTGATACATTGGCATAGACATTTTGACCACCAATATGGTTGGATTGTTAAATTAGTGAAGCAGTTAAAAAATAAATAACAAATAAGTGTAATGCAGAAATAAAAAGACAGAAAATTAGAAAAGGACCTTAGTGTTAGCTTGGGGCAAGATAAAGATAATTAGAGAAGGACATTGGGCCGATGGAGAAGGCAAAAGAATGGTGAGACATGCGTTGGAAAGAATTGAGAGACCTATCTAGGGCACAAAGTATGCGTTGAAGATTATAATGGCCAATAACATTTTCACTATCGAGAACTTCATAACCCACCCAACTTAGGCTTACACAAAAAAGTAGTTGATCCTACGTGACTGACAAACAACAACGACAGAAATTATATCTTCCTATGTACACTCATGCAGGTTGCCAGACAAGTGCCTCTGCAATTACAGGCATCACGGGTTACAGCAGCTTTCAATTCCCCCGTCACTAAGCACAAAGATCTAGCAAATGGAGGATATTCTAAAAATACTTACAACATGAAAGCAGACGCAGAATTTTTCTCATATTCAGATAAAAGTTGACAATCCACCTTAAGATCAAAAAGTTCTACCCAGGAGGCTTCCCCAACCTTGAAGTAACATTTCCAGAACTGGAGGCAGTCATCAAATTTCCATTAGCAGACATGTAGAAATAGTTGTAGTTGATTCTGGTCACCAAATCAGCCAGATGAGGGAAGTGCCCCACATTTAATTTGAATGATAAAACCTGAAAAATCCAGGGTACGAGTTATATAAGTACTCAAAGATATTCACCTTTTCTTTTCTTTTCTTAACTGCCTGTTAGTTATAGAGCATATCATAGATTATAATATCATTGCAACTTTGTTGTGACACTCAATAGCAAGCACACAACTGAGTAAGCATTTTGTTATGAAGCACCAATACTTCAATTTGCTTCATGTATCTGATATCAATACTCTAAAATATTTCTATGATACGTGTCTATAAAGTATTCAAACATACAATGTACAGATACTCTTAGTTGTTTCACGTATCAGATACCACAGTTTTGAATACTTCACCCATACATGTTGGTGAAGTGTCCAATATTTTCAAGCATTTATATCCAATAAAACTAAAGAAATATACAAGTATGTGTAATATAGACATATTGTCTCTTTGTAAACCAAACAGAGAAATTGATTGATAGTGTTATTTCTATACGTAATTATAGAAAGTAATTTATGATGACAATTATTTATAGTTTTACTTCGACAACGTAAAAAATATATGATTTCAATTTGGATTTGCACAATTGCAATTGAATATCTATTATGTTTTATACTTTTTTTAAACCAATACGCATATCATAGATTTATATACTTCTTATGTGCCTAGTTTCTCTTTAATATTTGCATAAACACCTGCATGAGTAAAAAAATGCTGGCTATATATATTTTAGTCATAGTATAAAGAACCAATTATTTTCAGCATGGCCAAATAGAACTGGCAGTCACTCAGTAGCGGCAGAGTTAAAATAAGTACTTTAGAAGAATACCCGAAGTAAGAAAGCAATGCAATCATCAAACTGTTTCTCTATCCGGTCCACTTCCATCTCACACCTTGCTTTGATGGCAGAAGCAGCTCCACCACCACTTAATGTCTGCTGTATGTTATAAAAGTCTAAAGCTAGGCCAAGGATGCTGTTGATGCGGCTAGCAATAAGAGCCCCCTGAATGCAAGATCGAATGCAAAGACTATTGAAGCTCGCTCCATAGTAATTTATAAATACTCTAGTCAGAACATAATGAAAAGAGAACAAAAACACTAAAATTAAGAGATATGATAAATCACCAGCTTATCAGGAACCACAAAGCATTGCCGTTGAATTGATAACATGTAAGTCTCATGGACTTCAATGACTTCATCCAGAGATTTTGCTGCACCCATACCCTCACATAGTTCACGCCATGCACTGTGATATACCTGCATAGAAATTGTGGTGACAGATAAAAATGCTCAGGTTACCTTCACAAGATGCAGAACCATGCAAGAAAGAGTGTATACTGGATGGGAAGATCACATTGTGTTATTATCATAAAAGAAATTAGAAGGCATTAAAAGCAATTAATCGAGCCATTCTATTCGTAGGCTAGCAGGCCCTACCATTATTTGTGTTCAATGCCAAATTGCCAATTAATAATGTCCTATGCACATAGTACGTTTTGCAGGAAAATCTTCTCGCAGCAATTACTTTTATAATTATCTTAGTGCAGTGTGCTTACCCGATCCATCACATATTGGTGAAAAGCATCCACAAAATGAAGGAGTTTCTGCTCCACTAACCAATGATGCTTTCTGTAGTTTGTAGCAGATCCCCTACCCTGCAGGTGGTGATTGAAGTTTCGAAAACCTTTCGGTAAATGTCTAGAATTTAACAAAATACAAAACTAGATAGCGAAGTTTATTCCAAGAAAGATATAGTCGAGGGAGGACATGCTCCTCTGATGAGAAACGGGGAATAACGTATGGAAGTACCTTCCACATCCATCTCCGCACTTTATCTAATACGAATTTTGCACGCTTGACCTTTAACAAGAACCGCATTACCTACCAGACATTTATTTAAATTAAAAGTAGAAAACGTTAGTACAAAAGACCAACCAGATATTAGGAAAATAAATCATAATCTGAACGATGAAAATAATTAAAAGGGCAAAAGGAAAAATGATAAAAACTCCCAAAAGCAAGCTCGACACCTGGTTGTACTTCTTAATTGCCTCTGTATTTGCAATGAGTTCAAGAGGCCAAGGGACCTGCCAATTCCAAATTTACAATATACCTTTTATTTTCTTTTGTAAGGAACCACATATTCTTAAATAGGAATTCAATCAAAAAGGGAAAATCAACT